TTTGTCCTGCAGTCCCAGGAAAGGAACCCATATGCCTACGTAAAGAATATGGGTTTTATTTTATTATTTTATTTTTAAAAAAGCAAAAACAGAAGGACAGAAATAAGACAGGATTTTTAAAAACCAGTAATAAATTAATGCTAGTTAATATAATGCATATGTTTGATCACTTTTTATGCGTAGATCTTGTAATCTGAAGAATGTGGATTTTAATCCATGGGCAAAGAAGTCACTGGGGGCTTTCTGTGAGAGGGCTGCTTGGTCACTCACTGAGTGAGGAAGATGACAACTTTCGTAGTCATACCTGTGCTTATGGATGAGAGCAGGGAACAAGAGAGGCAGTTTTTCTTTAGGAAATATTGAAAAAGACAAAATAAAACATCATCTGCAGGAAGGCAGATCATAGAGTGAATAAGGTAGATTTGCAGAATAGCAAGACGTAAACTGTCAAGAACTGCGGGTACTGTGATCTGGGAACTACAAACCAGAAGAAGCACTTACTGCTCGAAAACACATTCAATTCTCATGATGTGTTTGATTTGGGTTTAATCTTGCAGAATATGAAGTCAAGCTATTTATCTCATATTGAAAGTGATTTCCAATTTCACACTCATTTTAAAGTAAGCAGAGAATGACTTGTGAATTGCTTGAGTTCAGGCATTTCTTTCTTTTTGAAAAGATAATACAATGCCACATTACCTCTGCCTTCCCCCTCAAAGGACAGGGCAACAGCATCACCCTCACAACAATAAAGCATGGAGTGTCACCCACATTCTCAGGGCTGCTGCTGATCCCTGGAAGTGCTGATCTGGCATCTGAGCCACCTCCCCTGCTGTCCTTTCTCACCTTCCTAGTTACCTGGCCTCCTGCCCGTGTCCTCACTTGCCAATGGCCTGAGCTAGAAACAGGCCAGGACCCTAGGGAAGACGAGCTTCACGTTGACCTGGAATAAGAACCAAGTCTGGACATAAACCTACCCCCAAATTCTGGGTTGTATTTTCTTCTTTTCACATGTCTCTGTCAGCAGGGATAAGAATTCCATGCTTAACCAAATTGTGGTCTCCATCTAAAATCTGTGCAAATTTCAAACCATTTCTATCACAGTCATCTTTCCAAAAGAGAGGTAGGCCAGGACCAGGAGTCCAGCTCTACCAGCAGCTCATGCCTGGGCACCTGGACATTCCCTTCTGCCACTGAGCAAAGGCCAGGTTAGGACTACTTGTCACCTTACGAGAAATGCCCCAAGTCTGAGTTTGATTTTGTCATGTACAATCTATTTCCTGTGTGCTCATGGGCAAGTCAATGACCACGTAAAATCCTAAAATTCAGTTCTCATATATGGAACCAATGGCATCTATCCATTATTTATTCCTTACTATATTTCCTAAGGAATACGTGGTTATAATTAAGAATACCAGCTACTTTTCACTAACAAGTGAGTATGTAAGGTAGAATGTTCGAATCTTTGCATGATGCAGTACCTAATAGAGTACAAGCCACTCCCATGGTTTTAAACTTTTTATAGCACAAGGGGCTGATGGGTTTTGACAGCACAGGATTGATGAGCTGTGGAAACTTGAAGCAACCTCTGCAGAGCCCTGGAGCACACGGTGGGCGCAGTTCAGGAAGCAGCGTTATACACCCTGAGCCTTTCTGCAAAACGCAGCAGAAATGCCACGGTCGTCAGGGCTACAGAGAGCATTTTGCTGAAGACTATTTTCAGCATCGTGTAACTAAAAGGAAATGAAAAGAGTGTGGCTTCACATGGAGGCACAGCCTTTCCTAAGGGGACAGTTAGATGGACAGTGGTGGACTGGGCACCTGAAGGAAAATTTTTTTAAAAATCTAATGGTTCTTATCATATTTTCCCTTTGTTGTCCTCATTTCAGAGTTGGGGTAATATTTAAGACTCTGATTTATCCTTGCCCTGGGGAAACCCTCCCACGGCTTCCCACTGGGCCTCAGGGTTAGGCCCAAAGCTCACCCCGGACTTCCCAGTGACTGATCTCACTTTCTGCCTCTTCACCTGGTCCGTGAACACACCGGTCCCCTTCCTCCACCAGGGATTTTGCACACATAGCTCCTTCTGCTCAGAACATGACTTTCTGGCTGATTCCTATTTTTCTTCTAGGCTCAACATATACGTCTCCTCAAAGAGACTTTCTCTGACCATATGTGCTAATGCCACTCTACTCCATCAATCTGTTTCAGGATCTTGTATTTTTCTGGGTCTTTAGGTGCTAATTTATTTTTCCTTGTAGCATGTATTATAGTTGGGTTACATACTTATTTAGATTTCTGTTTTACATCTGTCTCCTGCCCCATCCCAATTCTGATTGGAAGGAAAAGAGTTATAAGACAACGTAATTCATGATTCCAATTTCCTGGAAAAATCCATTCACAGGTGAAGCTGCGTTTCTCTCCCTGATTCCCCTTGCTTCCTACCTAGACAGTGTCACCATCACTATAACAGCTTGCCTAATGTAGGCTAACTTTACAATGAAGAAATCTGTGTTAGCTCACAATTCTGGAGGCCCAAGGGCCCATCGCTGAAGAGGGCGGTGACATGGCTGGGGCTCAGAAAGAAACAGTGGCCACACAGTGGGGCCAGAAGCTAGAGATCTGGGCAGGACCAAGTCAGGCTCACAGCAGCCCTTCCCCCAAGATGAGGGTGTCACAACACCACCCCAGTTCCTCCCCAGGGCTCCCCCCAGGCCTCACAGGGATCCACAGATGACCAGCCACACCCTTGTGTCCCTCACAGAGCACACCTGCTTCCCTCACAGCTGGAGGAAAGCAGAACCTTGGGCTCTTCCCAAGATTCTCCAGCAGTGGTTCTAATATTAGAATAAGGAAAGAAGCCCCCAGGGACCTAAGTACATGATTTAGAATGCTGGGGTTTCTATACTTAGCTCCGGGGTCTAGAGATAAAAGGTGGTTCTATACAGACAGGTGCTCAACACTGCCGTCAGTCACACACAGTCACCCTTGGCACCTGCCAGGGAGGGGCCAGAATGCCCCTGTTCCAGCAGACACCAAAACCCACAAATACTCAGGTCCCTGAGATAAAATAGTGAAATAAAATGGCAATAGCCTTCCTCCCTTCTTCCTCCCTCCTTCCCTTCCTGTCTTCTTTCTTTCCTTCTTTCCCCTCCCTTTATGTCTCCGCCCTCCCTCCCTTCCATCCATCCTCCCTTCTTTCTTTCCTTCCTTTCTTCTGACCATGGCCCTGGGGGGGGGTGGTTGAACCCAGGGGTCCTCTGCCACTAAACTATATGTCTAGTCCTTTATATTTTTATTGTTTTTAAAATTTGAGACAGGGTCTCACTGAATTGCTCAGGAAAATTCAAACTTGTGATCTTCCTGCCTCAGTCTCCCTAATGGTATAATTTATATTATCTCTAGAGTACTATTGTGCTTGACACAATGCAACTACTATGTAAACAGTGGCAGGTTAGGGAATAACAAGAAGAAAAAAATGTCAGTACATGTTTAGCACAAACGCAAATTCTTTGTTGTTTGCTTACAGGATGGGACAGCACCCAAGGCCTGCCCATGCAGGTGCTCTACGTTGAGCCATATCCTCGGTCCATTTCTGAGAGGTTCTTGGTGATGTGCATCTGTGAATATGGTGGCTGTTCTCTGCTCCAGAAAGACCTGGACACACTTAACAGGACTCCGGGTGAGTCCTCCTAACAGCTCTGATCTCAGCCTTTCACAGTGAGACTCTGGTATGACTCCTGTGGACACTGCAAGCCTGGGGCCAGCATGGAGGCGGGGGTCCCCCGCACTGCTCCAGGCCTGCCTCACCCACAAGAGCATACAGGGTTCATCGTGAGTCTCAGCCTAGCACAGCAGCTTCAGGATCCCATCATGCTCAGAAGCATGGGGTGGACACCACCCCGTGCACTGCAGGTCAAAGAACAGGAGTTCAGCGAAGGCGCCCACCTCCAAGGTGCAGAGGGCACTGTCCACTCAGCCTGACCTTCTGCCCCACCCTCAACACACTTAGCCATCAGTGTGGGAAATTTCCACATCACAGATTTCAGACGCAACATCAGAAGGTTCAGGAAAATTCCAGAAGCAGAGCTGATTTTGGACACAGTAACCTTCCTCAACACAGCAAGTCCTAGACATACTCACTCTTAGTGAACACAGGAACCTGGGCGGAGGCGCCATATATTTATCAGGAAGCAGGGAAGGGGTTCCAGCAAAGAGCGGAGGGATGGAACGTGCTTGGAATATTTTGGCAACTAAGTCTTAGAACAGCAGAGTGGCTGAGGTAACGAAAGTAAAGGGTGCAGGAGGAAGAAGACGGGAGGCTGCACTTGAAGAGGTTACGTGCGAAAGCCAGTGATGATGCGTTGTAATTGCTAAAGCCAGCAAGACCCAGGACCCAGCAACTCTGGGAGGCATTAACTCCCTTCTGATAATGTTCCCTGGAGTCTTATAAGAACCTAGACACCAAAGAAGTTGACTTTTAAGGTCAGTCTTTTAGACTAGTGAGACCAAAAAGAAAAAGAGGGCTGCAGTGTTACAGTACACATCACAATTGGAGATCCAGGACAGGTCAACCGGAAAGATAACATCCATAAGTGTGATCTGTGTAACAAATAGGTGGTAACTCAGTCATTCAACATGTCTGGACTAAGCACTTACAGCAGACCAATGCTAACTCAGCATCAGATCCTGTAGTGTCTGAAGGGACATTGGAGAGAGAAACAGGACACAGAAGAGAACAAAGTCACTGACCTCACCGTTTTCCAGCAGCAGGCCACTGTATGTTCATTTGTGTTTGATGCAATTGAAAGTCGCCTAAGAGGACTGCAGCTCACTGGGGCTGGCCACGAACCTCTCTGCCAGGATCCCAGGGAGCAGGACTGAGCAGAGGGAGCAGTGACCTAGGATCGCCACTCCACTGGGGGTGAGCCTGCAGTCTCTGTGCACTCTCAGGTTTGTCTGCATGGAAAGGTGTTACCCCAGAGCTGCAACCCACATACCTGGGCGGGCAGGGCTCTGTGTTACAGGCCTGGCTCATTGCTGGGGGCCGGTGCACTGCGTCGCACAAGCTGTTGTTGACCGTCTGCTGGGTCTGGATGTGCAGGCACACTGCTATGGTCTCCTGACGTCCTAAAATGTGGAGAGAAAACACAGCAAGCAACAAGAAATCACTGGCTGCAGGAAGAAAGGAAATAGGCCAGCGCTTTCCCTCACCCCTGGGCCATTCTCTTCTGCTTTTGTTATGGGCCGTAGAGCATCGCTCTGAGTCCCAGCATTCCTTCCTGAACCTGAGAACATCCTTCCTGTTGCTCTGTCCGAAACCTTCTCAACTCGAGACACACAGGGCATACGCAACCACCCACTCAGCCTCAGACTTCTCTGCCTTCTCGTCGTACTCAAAGCCGAGCATCCCTCAAAGGAACCCTGAAGGTTCTCCTTCCTGTCATCTGTGACAGATTCCCTAGGAGGAATTTTCCTATCACCTGCGGGGAATAACATTTTCTCTACATCAGGGCATATGTGCTACATCTGATCTGTAACTTCATAAAGTTTTCACTATGGTTTGAACAGCTGTTTACTGCTGTCTGTTACTAGTATTTCTAATGCTACCAAATTAATAGTGATACCTCCCCCTGAGAAAGTACACAAAGTGCTTTCAGGCATATTATTTGAGCCCACAATTATCTTCTGAGTTTGGAATTACATCCTTAACTCCATTTTATTAATCTAAGAATAAGGAAACTGAAGTGTACACAGAAATGAGATAGCAAAAATGAATAGATTCAAACTAAAAATAGATTTCATGTCCCCTGATTCAGTGGTCTTTCTTTTTCACTCTTGAGATTTCAAAATGCAATCCTTGTGAAATCTTTGAGATTTCCCAAAGCAGGGATGGTTTCTTATTAAAATATGAATAATCATGGGCACATTTCTCCTTTGAAGTCAGATAGATCTCTGAGACTCCAAAGCATGGACTCTCAACCATTATCCTTTGTCTGCTGAAACCAAAAAAAAAGCAGATTATTGGAAAACCAGAAATGAATGAAGTAGAAATCAAATTTTTGATGAAAAAACTAATAAAACTTTAACAGCAATATCTTCATTACTTTCCTCTCATTGCTGAGACAAAATACCCAACACCCAAAGTTAAAGGGGAGGGGATTTATTTGGCTCAGAATTTGTAGGGGTTTCAGTTCAGTAGTTGGCTGGCTCCAACGCAAGGTAGCATGGCAGAAGAGCATCACAGAAGAGAATCAGTTCATGGCAGGTAGAAGGTAACAAAGCAAGTAAGGGACCTTAGCAGCTGCTTTCTGTCCCTTTTATATTCTATCTGGACTGCTTAAACCAGTGCTAAACCAATCAGTGGACTGATTTAGTAATCACTCAGTCTTAATCCCAGCATCACACTCTAGATTCAGGCACCTCTGAAAAAGTCCCACCTGTGACCACATGAGGTTTTGGGGGGACAACTAAGCACAAGGCATAACATTCTGTCTCTGGCTCCCCCAAGACTTGTGTACATTCCTTTATGCAAAAGGAATTTAGTTCACCCCTAAGAGTTGCCAAAGTCTTAACGTTTCAGCATTGCTGAAAAGTTCAAGTCTTCTCTGAGATTTAAGGCAAACTTTTAGCTGGGAGCCTCTGTACAAATGAGAAGAAAGTGAAACACTTCTAACACACAGTAGCACAAGATAAGCATTATCATTCTAAAAGGTACAAATAAGGGGATATAAAGGAATGGGACCAAAGCAAATCTAAAATCCAGCAGGGTAAAAATTAAGTCGTAGTTCCACATTCTGCATCTGAGGCAATCTGTGCAAGATGTGAACTCTCAAGCACTTTGGTAGCTCTGTCCCTATAGCACTTCTGGTGGTTGTATCTCCCATGCCTTCTCCCTTGGGCCTGCTCTGCTTTCTCCTTCAAATTTTTCTCAGATGATCCATGTTCCTGGCTTCTCCAAACTTTTGGGATCTCCACTGTTTCTTCAATTGCACATGCTTCACTCACAGCTTCACATGCTGCCCTCTCAGGAACACACTGCCTGGTCTCTCAGGCCTTTTCCTGAAATCTGGGTGGAAGCCTTCCTGACTACACAACTCTTGCATTCTTTATGCACCTAAAACCAATACCACGTGGATGATGCCAAAGGCTGTCACCAGCTAGAGCAGTAGCCAGGCTTCCTTCTCTCTTGGCTATAGGGGTTGAGTGCATATGAACCAAATCCCAAGGAATGACTTCCTAGGCTACTGCCATTCTGGGACATGGTGCTTTAGGACTCTCAAAACAAAGTCTTTAACCTTTGCAATTCTAAGGCTGCAAAGGCTGGAGTATTGCTGGTTCTTGTGATAGGCTCAGGTCACCTTTTATGCTGTCTTCTGAAACACTTGGTCTTTTCTTTACTAGTTGTTTTAGCAACCATTTTCTCCTCTGCTCCATATTCATGGGCTGCAACTTTACTGGTGCGTCCTTTCTGACCAAAATCACAACGTTTTGAAACATTCTGTCTGGCTCCTTTTGCTTGAGATTCTCAACACAAATCTGGCTAAAAGACCATAACAGTAGCTATGCAACCATCTCAATTTTAGACTATCTTGAAATATCCTCTGTAAAATTAATTAATCAACCACCATTTAGCTCAGTCTCAACCAAAGTCTTTGGACATAAGAAAAATGTAGACAAACTTTCTGCCAAGGTATAAGGCACATCATCTGAATCCCAATAGCCAATGCAGTCTTTCTTTCCAACAGAAACCTCCTGAGCCTGGTTTTTTTATGGCAAGCTTTCTATCAAACTTTTGGTTTTCTGAGCTCAAATCAGAATCTCTCATCAAGTTCCACCTAAGGCATTCCAGTTCTTCTTTTCAGCCAGCATCTCCAAACCTTCCCAGACTCTTCCCACACGCCTTTTCCCAAAGGCTCCTGAACCACGTGGTCAAGTAGAATCATGGCAATGACCCTGCTTCTCTGGTACTAAATTCTGTCTTAATTACTTTTCTCTTGTTGCTCAGACAAAATATCTGACATCTAAAATTAAGGGAGGAAAGGTTTCTTTGGCTCACAGTTTGTAGAGGTTTTTGTCCATAATCAGCTGGCTCCAAGACAGGGTATTATGACAGGCAAGTATCACAGAGGAGAAATAGTTTATGATGAGCAAAAGGTAGCCCTGACCCTTTCATACTCCATCTAGGAAACGGGGCTTAGGTCGGTGCCAAACCAATTATTGGACTGATGCAGTAATCACACACCTTAATCCCAGCATCACACACTCTAGATTCAGCCACCTCTGAAAAGGCCCCACCTATGACCACATGAGGCTTCAGGAGGACATCTAGAACATGCCATAACATAAACAATTTGGCATATGCAAACGTATTCAGTTTCATGTCAGAATGTGTATTCCATTATGTTACAAAGTTGTGATTCTTTTTCCAAATGCCATGTTTCAGTTCAACCATTGTACAGTATTTAAACTGTAGAAAAAAATAGTGGCCAAAAATTCTTATAAAATATATATTTGTGATGTTCTGTTCTTTCCAATAAATTTTTTCCTGCTGTCTTCAGTTGCAATTTTATGCTCCCTGCCATGGCAAGACTCAGTCTTAAATCTGCATGCATCATCCTTGAGCTTTTTAAATAAACACTAGCTACCCTGAAATATAAGATGACATCGCTATAATTTAATAGCTCTGGTTCTTATTTGCACATAGCAAAAAGTCCTCAGTGACCTTACAAGGGGATAAATTCCATTTCCACGTAGATTTTCTTCTTTTCTTTATCTGATAAAAATCCAGTTCTGTAATACATTTTAACTTGTAAAATAATTCTTTGTAAAATACATCCAAAGAGCATTTGGGGATTATCTTTTGGAAATTGGGCCATAAGGTACCATTCTGACAATTTTGGTGGAATTTTACAAAACATTTATGTTACGCTTTTCTGTCTTACAGAAAGCTTACTGAATATAATTTAAAATTAACTAGATAATTTGGAATACTTATGCATAGAGGGTGTATTTTCCAAAGATGGCCACACAATATTTCCCATGTTACATGCTGGTCATAAATATGACTTTGATAGTCCTTATTTTCAGAGGATTAATCAAACAATTGTCTAAAAAGTAAAAGTTAAAAAGGTGAAAATTATAAAAATAAGTTTATTTTTAACTTATTAATAAATTTACTCATAACATAATTACTATTATGCACTTAGAACCTATAAAGTAAGTCAGGTATTTAAATTGCAGAGAGTTTTTTCTACTCAATTTCTTTTTGTAGCAAAGGCAACATTCTTTACTTCATGTTTGACTTTTGTAAAGTTGGGATGAAAGTTTTTAAAAAGTCAAATAGATATACAGTCACATGTCACTTACTGACAGGAAAGTATTCTGAGAAATACATTGTGAAGTAATGTAGTCATTGTGTGAACATTATATTCAGCATACCATACAAACTATGAGAGATATAAAGTCACTAGGTGATACAATCTCATGGGACCACTGTTGTATATACAGTGGCACATGATTAACAATGCATATATCCTCAAAGCCTCCACCAATAAACAAATTAATGATTACAGGGTAAAAGGCACACTGCGAGGGGAAGTTGAGCCAATAAATAAGTTTATACATTCTCTTATTGATTTAGGTTTATTTGAGTTGTGTTTCTGTCACTTGCAAATAAGAGTCTTCACTAGTTCAAAATACCAGCTACATATAGAGCAATACATACCTGGAACCATATTAAAAAGAAGAGTTAAAATGTACTTTTCTCAATATGTGGCACATGCCTGTGATCCCAGCTACTTAGTGGGTTGAGGCAAGAGGATTACAAATTTGAATCCAGCCTGGGTAACTTAGCAAGATCTTGTCTCAAAATAAAAAATAAAAGAGGCTAGTGTACATGGAGATCAGTGCTGCCTGGGCTCAGTTCACAGTACTAAGAGAGAAGTTCAATTCCCTCTGTAGATCAGCCAATATGACAGAGAGCTACTATAACTTCCCAACAATAAAAAAGGAGAGGCATAATATGCTATAGGCCCAGTGAGGTGCCAAAGAACAGCATCATGCTTCACCAAACACACAAAATTTTACAGCCCTCCAAAGAGGTGAGTTCTTTTTAGGAACCAGTTGTG